TAGAGAGCAGGGCATATGAGAAGAAGAGGCAGCAACAGGAGGAGGAGGACTTGAACCTAGAAGATGGAGGTGAGGAACCTGTTTTACGTGGTGGGACCAGGGAAGCAGAGAGCAGAGCATGCAGTGATGGAAGAAGCAGGAGAAGCAAGAAGAAAATACAGCAGCATCAAGAGGGGGAGGATATCTTGGATGTAAGGGATGAGGAGGATGGCGAGGCTAGGGAAGCAGAGAGCAGAGTACAGGCTCAAGCAGCAGAGGTAAGAGGAGGCAGCAGCACCCTGAGGAGGAAAGAGCTGGAGTCAGCACTGGCCAGAGAGCCAAAAAGAAGAAGCAGAAGGAGAGAGACTAACGGTCTGACCAAGGTGGGGCTCAATTGATTCATTTTCAGGAGTTGAAGGCTCAAAGAACAGGGTCAATGCAGGTCTGCAGGTCTTCTGCACCCCCCTCAATGAGGAGTCCCTCCCAAAAAGGAAACTGATCTCCAGGATGTCCACTGCCGAGAGCAGCCAACAGTAGTATTATACCTTAGTTGAGGGAACCAGCATAGTCCCCTCTGTAGCTTGTAACCCAGGATTGTGAACTCAGGTGCCTGGAGATGTCAGGCAGCTAAGGGACAAGGAATGCTGGGGGCTGTGGGAACAGGAATGCAGATACCCTTTCAAGGAGCTTTCCTCTTAAAAGAAGCTGAAAATGTAGGCTTAATGTGAAATGCTCTGATTTCTAAATATTGTGAAGGTTAAGGAAAACAAATTTAGGTCTATGGGCTAGATTTAGCCCAGAGTTGCCAGTTTCTAGCACTACCAAATGAATGAATGAACATCTCTGTTCCCAGCATGGAAAGGTCCTGAATGCATTTTAGAAGATACTCCTTAGAGGCCTTTGAAGAAATTCCTTCTGTTAACCTCCTTGTAGTCTTGCTACACTGATAAGTGGAAGTAGCTCCCTATCTGTTTCCCAAATGAGTAAGAATTGTGTAAAGGAGAGCACAACTCACTTGGCAAAAAAAAAAAAAGATAATCTTACAACTTACAATTTTCATGAGTGAGGGCAAGAGCCTGACAAAGAAATTAGATCAGATTAGCAGCAGACTATCCACAATACTAGATACAAGACAATGGAACAATCTTAAGAGAACTAGGGGTAAATCTATTCTACCCCCAGTCAAACTGGAAGTACATTATCAGATATACAAAGATTCAGAGAGCTTACCACCCACAAGCTTACAGCCCTTTGTGAAAAAAGTTTCTTGAGGTTGTTTTCTAACAAAAAGATACTCTAAAACATGTATAAAAAACCATGGAGGGTGAATTGAATAATTAAATTACAAGATTTGATTAAAAAATAATATGGAAGTACAATAGGTAAACCCATTGAGACAAAATGTAGATTGGTGGCTGTCAGTGCTTTCCGGTAGGGGAAAACGGGGAGCAAGTGCTTCCTATGTACAGGGTTTCTTTTTGGGGTAATGAAAACATTCTGGAACTAGTAGAGGTGGCTGTTGGACAACAGTGTGAATGCACTAAATGTCACTCGATTTTTTACTTTTAAATGGTTAATTTTGTTACATCAGTTTCACTACAATCTGCAAAAATGTTCCATAAAGATAGTAACTAGTTCAGCTTGGAACTCAAACTGCTTATAATTTTTCCTTGGAGGCAACCATTGTACTTCAGTATGCAGCAGACAAGCTTTATGAATTTTTCCCCATTTCGTTATATAGAATACTAAGTAATGAAGGGCCAAGACTTAAATTTAATAAATTTAAAAAATAATATGGAAGCCAAATTTGAGATGATCAAAAGGAAAAAAAGGTTGCTGAACCCCAAAGAAGTAAAGCCTACTAAGGTTCTTGTGTCGCTGGGGAAAAAAGATGAAAAGCACGGGTGATTGCAACACAGGTTCCTTTTCCTCTACTCTTTTTGTTTCTTTTTCTTTTTTTTTTTTAAAGACGGGGTTTCACCATGTTAGCCAGGATGGTCTCGCTCTCTTGACCTCGTGATCCGCCTGCCTTGGCCTCCCAAAGTGCTGGGAATATAGGCGTGAGCCACTGCGCCCGGCCTATCCTCTACTCTTCTCTTAAGCTAGATGGCCAGTGGGACTTGTAGTAGCTGGCATAGATGTATATGAGGCTTGGGACTTTGCTGGGTCCAGCAAAGAAAAGAGAAAAGAGAACCAATATGCAACTTTCTTCATGTGTTGGAAGCTCAGTTTGGAGGACCAGAAGATGGACCTCGGGAGAGCTTGAATATCAGGAATATGTGGGCTCCAGGGAAGAAGGTCCATTCTGGCCCACAAGTAAGTGTACTATATCTTTTTGAAAGAATGGGTGGACTGGGTCCCCCTTGAGACCCAGAGAGTGTCTCCCAGAGAACTCAGGGAGATAAGGAACCTGACACATCCTTCAGATACTTCAGCAGGAAATGCCACTTCACTACCTACTGCTTGGAGGACTGCTAATGTGTAGGACACACAACAAACAGACTAGAACTCAATGAGCTGAGAAAGAAAAATAACCTATGTAAGGAGGTCCAGCAATGGGAGGAAAATAAGCAGAGTAATTAGAATATACCTTTAGGAAAATAGAAATGCTAGGGAAAGATGAAAACATGAATAAAAATAAGAGCATGTAAGGTGAGTCACGTGTAGCACATACACCATAACTTTCAAAAGTTTAATAACATTACTTTTTAAAATAGATTTTTAAATTAGAGTTAAGCATGGTGGCTTGATCCCAGCTCCTCAGGAGGCAGAGGTAGAAGGATCACTTGGACCCAGGAGTTCAAGGCTGCAGTGAGCTATGATCCTGCCACTGCACTCCAGCCTGGGTGACAGAGCCATATCCTGTCTCTTAAAAAAAAAAATTAAATGATAGTTTTAAAAGGAGGATGGTCTCCAGGCACAAGAAATACCTCAAAGTACAAAGCCAACATTCATAAATGGAAATCATGAGGGAAAAGAGTTAAAGAACAGCTCAAAGAAATCTAACATACAATAGTTTCAGAAGGAGACAAATTAATACATGGAAAAATAAAATTATTCAGCAGGTAATATTAGAAAATTTTACCTGAGTTAGAGAAAGACTGGAATCTGCTCAGTAAGTCCCAAGCTGGACGTTTAGACATGCTTGGTAAAGTTCCTGAACTATACACAGAAGATCATATAAACATCCAGGCAGAGAGAACAAGTCACTTAAAAGGAAAAAAGCTAGACTGGCAATGAAATAGCCAGTCTATCCACCCTGAGAGAGACAACATCTATCTACCTAATGATAAAGGACCGCCTCCGACGATCCTTTACCTGGTCAATTAATTATTCATCTTTCAGGGCAAAAGAAAATTAACTAGAAAAGAGACCTCAAGATGGAATTCAAGAAAAGGAAACACTGGTTACTCATGTAAATTTAAGTTTAACTGGGGAGGGAAAGATTTCTTAGAATTGACAATAGGGACTCAAAATTTAGAAGAGAAGGTAGTAAAATCATTCTGAAGATCCCACTGTGACAGCAGTGAAGGAGGTAAGTATATTCTAAAGGACAGGGAACTTGTTCTGCCATTATTAGAACATAATAATCAAGTAAATATGGTATTGATTTAGAAAAAGACAAAAAGAACCGTTGAACAGAATAGAGATTTCAGATGCAGATCCTAGGTTACACAAGAATTTGATATGTGACAAAGTTGTTCAATTCTGTTAGACAAAGAAAAACTAGTAAGTGGTGTTGCTATCATTTTGGAATAAGCAACTGACTCCTATATAATACTGTAAAAGCAAAAGTAAATTTCAAAAGGATTAAAAACAAACTTTTAAAGGAAATCTAGAAAGCTACATGCTACGTGTATTATCTAAGGAAAGTTATTTCTCTCTGTCCTATACGAATATATGAGTTAAAAAAAAACCTACTAATCTGAACTTGGGTGAAATACTAAGAAAATCTAGCTCTACACCTAAAATAAAATGACATTAGAAAAGAAGGAAAAAGATATCCCTCTTTCTTGTATTTGAAAAACTTAATCTATCAAGCAGATATAACAGCAAACCTCTGTGTACTTAAAACAATGGCTGAAAATAAACTGAGGTTTAGGAGAAATGGGTACAATAACAATCACACTGAGATCCTAAACTATCTTCCACAGAATCTGACAAAAGATGTAGAAAACATATGAGAAGGCCAGGCACGATGGCTCACACCTGTAATCCTAGCACTTTGGGTGGCCAAGGAGGGCAGATAACCTGAGGTTAGGAGTTCAAGACCAGCTTTGCCAACATGACAAAACTCTGTCTCTACTAAAAAATACAAAAATTAGCTGGGCATGGTGGTGAGCACCTGTAATCCCAGCTAATCAGGAGGGGGAGACAGGAGAATCGCTTGAACCCAGGAGGCAGAGGTTGCAGTGAGCCGAGATTGTGCCACTGCACTTACTCCAGCCTGGGTGACAAGAGTGAGACTCCGTCTGAGAAAAAAGAAAAAGAAAATATATGAGTAAACTATAGATAATTAAAACAACATCATTTAAATCCAGACTACATATATGATCTAAATTATATATTAAAATATATGTAAATAAAGCATATATCATGTATATACAAAATTATATACCAAAAAAAACCCAGGTAATATACATTATTTTCAAACACATTAAATACTACCAACAAGTAATATATCTGAGACCACAGAAAAAATTTCAACAAATCCCCAAAAGGTAGAAATTGGGTAAAAAGGAAATCAAAGTTGAAATATAATGTAAAAAGTAAATAACAATAGCTCTACTATATCTACACCTGTGGGATATCAAATTGATATGCACAGAAAAACATGTAGCTTTACATGTAATTACTAGAAAACCAGAAAGGTGAGAAATAAAATTTAGGTTTCGGAGTGTAGAAAAGTTGAGTTAATAAATAAAATACCAAAAGTTCTTATAAAGACTTAAACACAAATGCCCCAGAAAAAACCTTCAAGAAGTTTAGTTTAAAAAAAAAAAAAGAGAGAAGAGCTCCCCTTCGCCGCCGGTGGGCACCGTGGCCCTCTCCCGCTTCTGCGCCCGCTGGAGCTTCGGAGATCCCTGTGGTCCCACGGGACAGCGCGGCAGCAGTGGGCCTCGCAGACAGGATCTTGCGCTCTCGCCCAGATTGGAATACAGCAGTGTGAACACGGCTCACTGCTTCAACCTCCTGGACTCAGAAATGTCGGCTTATTTATAGGAATTGCTTGAAGCCAGAGTCATGGTGGATGTAGGAAAGTGGCCCATCTTCACTCTGCTCTCCCCTCAAGAGATTGCACCTCAGCCAATGAAGCACTGTAAGTTACTGACAATGATGAGGTCTTTGTATTTGGACTGAACTATAGTAACTGTCTAGGAACTGGAGATAACCAGAGTACACTTGTACCCAAAAAGCTGGAAGGCTGATGTGGAAAGATTAAAAGCCTCAGTTATGGGAGCGGACCACATGTTCTTCTCAGCACCGAAGATGGAGTGGTTTATGCCTGGGGCCACAATGGTTATAGCCAGCTTGGGAATGGGACAACCAACCAAGGCGTTGCTCCCATCCAGGTCTGTACCAATCTCTTGATCAAGCAAGTGGTGGAAATGGCTGTGGCTCACATCATTCAACGGCTCTAGCAGCTGATGGAGGGGTATTTGCTTGGGGTTATAACAATTGTGGCCAGGTGGGATCAGGTTCTATAGCAAATCAACCAACTCCTCAAAAAGTTACAAACTGTTTACATATTAAGAGGGTAGTTGGCATTGCCTGTGGTCAGACTTCATCCATGGCTGTTCTGGACAATGGCGAGATATATGGCTGCGGTTACAATGGCAACCAGCTGACCCCTGTGAGAGTGGCAGCTTTGCAGTGTGTGTGTGAACCAGATTGTCTGCGGCTACGCACATACTCTAGCACTATAGATGAGGGCTTGCACTATGCCTGTGGAGCTAACACATGGGCAGCTGGGAACCTGCAATAAAAATAATCTGCTAAGTCCAGCACACAACATGGTGGAGGAAGAAAGGGTGGTAGAGATTGCAGCCTGTCATTCTACCCACACGTCCGCGGCCAAGACGCAGGGTGGGCATGTGTACATGTGGGGCCAGTGCCGGGGCCAGTCTGTGATCCTGCCACACCTCACCTACTTCTCCTGCACCGATGATGTGTTTGCCTGCTTTGCCACTCCCGCCGTCTCTTGGCCCTTCCTGTCTGTGGAACATGAAGACTTTTTAACAGTTGCAGTCACTGAAGAAAGAATTTGATAGTCCAGAAACTGCTGATCTGAAGTTTCAAACTGATGGAAAATATATTCACATCCATAAAGCTGTTTTGAAAATCAGGTGTGAGCACTTTCGATCCATGTTCCAGTCGTATTGGAATGAAGACATGAAGGAAGTGATAGAAATCGACCAGTTGTCCTACCCAGTGTATCGTGCCTTTCTCCAGTACCTCTACACAGACACAGTGGACCTGCCGCCGGAAGATGCTATAGGTCTTCTGGATTTGGCGACATCTTACTGTGAAAACAGACTGAAAAAACTTTGTCAGCACATTATCAAGAGAGGAATTACTGTGGAGAATGCCTTTTCGCTATTCTCTGCTGCAGTCAGATATAATGTAGAGGATTTAGAAGAATTCTGCTTTAAGTTTTGCATCAATCATCTGACAGAAGTTACACAGACTACAGCATTTTGGCAAATGGATGGCCTTCTGCTAAAGGAATTCATTGCTAAAGCCAGTAAGTGTGGAGCCTTTAAGAACTGAAGTGCAAGGCTCCTGAGTTCTTTGTGAGTGCTCTGGGGCACTGTTGAGGATGTGTCCAGTTTGTGCTCTACGGGTGATGTAATTCTGCATGGAAAAGACCATCAGGTTGTGTTTTTCCACATCTGGGACACAGTTGTCTGTGTAGGAACATATCAAGGGCGTATGGCTTTTCTTGAGCCCATTTTAAACAACTCTTGTTTCCAGATAAGTGTATTTTAAATGTGACCTTTCTTTAATTTGGGCTGGAACATGTAAAACAGTAGAAGTTTAGTCGTTTTTGGTTTTGCTTTCATTTTTGATTAGAGGAACTAATGAAATTGGAAAGAGGAAGCTGGCAGCAACTCTCCTGGGCCACATATCAATAATCTTCTGACACCAGAAGCAGTGATAGGGAATTGTGAGAGGAATGGAGAAGCCCCATCGTGAATTGAAGATGCTGACCTGGGGCTTAAGTGCTGCCTTACTTGCTAGCTAGTAGCCTTACTATGAAGGAATAATTAAGATAGTTTGAGACGTTTGTTTGTGTGCTCCTGTCATTGATGACTTTTTAACTTTAAGGTATTTCAAAGTAATATTCAGTTTAATATAAGTTAAACCTATTGAAGTTATAATTATGTAAAGATACATTTTTGGGGTTAGCCAAGATTTCTCTGAAGATTTAAACTAAAATAAAAAACTGCCTTTTAATAGGATCTCTTCAGGAACACCATAATTTTGAAGCTTTTTCAAGGTAAAATTGTGCTAAATGTCATACCTAAGATGATTAAAAACAGGAAAACCAAATGAAAGGTGATAAAGTTTCAAATCAGCCAATGTGTGATGGCATAAAGAGTAGTAATTTAGAAGTATCTGTGAAACATTGATAATGAAATTTGAGGAAGGTGAATATTTTATAAATTAGAATCTCCACTACTTATCCAATGGTGTTTTATTTCATTAAGGTAGAATTTGAGGACTCAAGTTTAAATTGTCCCCCTCATCTTCTTGTAGAAATGCAAACTTAAGAGGAAAATAATGATGTATATAGTATACTCTTGCCTTCCTAAATTATGGCTGCTAAGTCATCATATCTACTATATATGACTGAGAGAAATGGTTCTTCAAGTCAACTCTTTTACAGGACTTAATGGAGTTTGCTTTATCTACTTTAGGCCAAATCCATCACACATTGGCTGATTTGAAACTTTATCACCTTGCATTTGGTTTTTCTGTTTTTAATCATCTTAGGTATGACATTTAGCACAATTTTACCTTGAAAAAGCATCAAAATTATGGTGTTCCTGAAGAGATCCTATTAAAAGGCAGTTTTTTTGAACTGGTTATCAAAGGTAACTTTGGGATGTAAGAGTGAGTTTCATCACGTATGTCTATTGAGCTTGCTTTAAGAACAATGTTTTGCTTTGCTCTCTGGTCCATGAACTCATTTCCATTTGAGTGAACTCCTTTAGTGAATTTATTTTTCGACTTGGATGTCCTCTCTTCTGAACTCAGCCTGAATACATTTTCAGAGCCAAATTGCAAGTGGGCGAAGACATGCTGCAGCTACTATTTTTAGCAAATTTTTAAATGTGTGTCTATTGGGGTGGGAAGGGGAGTGAGGGCCCAAAGTTAGGAATTCATTGAGAGCTGAAATAGATACAAGCCTAGTAGCCCCAGCTCACTCTTCTTGACCATATCACAGGTGATTGAAGCCCAGTGAACTGTCTGGTTAGAATTGGTTCTGCAACATGATAGAACTTTTTTTTACTAGGTTCAGAAATGGACTTTGATTTGTGCTACGATGGTTGGTATTTGTAACAATCACTTTCTGAAGGCTTATGATCTGAGCATTGCTCTTACTTGAAAAACTTTTTCAAAAAAAGCACAAATTAGTTGATTCATATCCATAGATAGTTCACTCATTCAACAAATATTTACCAAGTTCCTAATATAAGTGAAGAACCACTTCTCAGATTACTAAGTAATTTGTATGAGTGTATGTGACAGTGAAGAGAACAAGTCCTTCAAAAAGCATTTGATTATCTTTTTTTTTTTAACACACTCTCTTACTTTCCTAGTTGGTTTTGTTGTTGATCATAGCAGGATATGACAACTCTTACGCGAATTGATTTTTTTCACCTAATAGAATAATGGAAGCCAGAGGATTCATATTTCTTAAGGTAGCCCTAAATGTACTCTTGAACTTCTTACTGGAACAATGTTTGGTACTCTAGTATACAGGCTGTATTCATGTAATGTTAGAATGACATGTTAATAAACAAAGTAGGATTAAAACAGGAAAAAAAAGAGAAGAAAACATCAGTAAATGAGGAAATGACAGATACAGAGATTACATAACTTTTAAGAGGATATTACTAGAAGTTATTCCAAAATTTTGGATAATCTAGAATAGATACTCTTCTAGGAAAGTATAACCAAAATTGGCTCAAAAAGAAGAAAAAAACCCTAACAACCTAAGATTATAGAAGACACAGTAAAAGCAGTCGAAAGATTGATCTCTGAAAAGGTAACAGACTCAGATGAGTTTATGGATGAGTACCATCAAATCTTTAAGAAAGCAATATTGGCCATGATATGAAAAACCTTTTAAAGCATAGACAAATTTAAACTTCCTAACTCATTTTCTTAGGCTAGCCCAACTTAGATTCCAAAAAAGTAAAGCAGAAGAAAGGTAAAGGTCAATATTACTAATAAAAAACATAAATGAAAAGAAATCCTCAATGAAATATAAACTGAGTATCCCTTATCTGAAATGCTTAAGAACAGAAGTGTTTCCAGTTTTGGATATCTTCAGGCTTGGAAATATTTGCACATATTAGATATAAGCAAATATTTCAAAACCTAAAAAAATCACTAGTTTATACACATAACCCTTATATTATTTACATAATATATTGGGGATGTGATCCAGGTGTAAACACATTTGTTTCATATATATCTTATACACAGCCTGAAGGTAATTTTTTCAGTATTTTAAATAATTTTGTGACTGAAAGTTTTGACTGTTTTAACTGTGACTTGTCACATGAGGTCAGGTTTGGAATTTTTCATTTGAGGCATTATGTTAGCACTCAAGAACTGACTCAATGATTTTGGAGCATTTTGGATTTTCAGATTAGGGATACTCAACTTGCAGAAACACATCAATTGTATAGTATTAACCAACACATCATGACTGAAAAAGGCATTTAAGGATGACTCGACGTTTAAAAGCCTATTAATATATTTTATGAGTATCAGCAGATAAAAAAAAGAAAAAAAATCACATGGCAATCTCAACAGAAGTTAATACTAAAATCAGTATTTCGTTTCTTATTTAAAACAAAAACATGCAAAAATTCTTATCCAACAACAAATAAAACTCTTTTCAACTCAATAAACTGTCTACAAGAAACTTTCAGCAAAATTACATTCAATAATAACAGCAGTATCCCTGTTATATAATCTGAAGCAAGAGAGAAATGCCTGCTAAAATATTGCTAATATTATACTGGGAATCCTTCATAACATAAGAACACAAGAAAAATAATAGGAATAAAATTGAAAAGCAAGAGATAAATATCATAATTTTGAGATTGGCTATTTAAAAATTTCAAGAGGACTGAAAAAAATTAGAATATGAATTCAGCATGATGAGACTATGAATAAAATTGACATACACAGAATAAATTCCTATGTTATCAATATTGAATTAGAAAGTTCAGATATAAAGCCCTACTGTCACTAGCAACAAAAACTAAGATACATAAAAATAAATTTTAAAAGTGTAATTCTCTATAAAGAAAACTATAGGACTTTCCCATAGGGCATAAAAGACAAAGAAAAATGGAAAAACATATCATGTTCCTAAAAGGGAAGACTTATATTTTCCCATTTTCCATAAATTATAGTGTAGTTCTAAGCCCAATCTCAGGATGTTCCAGATTTTGACAAATGAATTCTAAAATATATGTGGAAGAGAAAAATGCAATGCTTTAAAATAGCCCATTCACAGGCCGGGCCCAGTGGCTCATATCTGTAATCCCAGCACTTTGGGAGGCCAAGGCAGGCGGATCACTTGAGGTCAGGAGTTCCAGACCGGCCTGGCCAACATGGTGAAACCCTGTATCTACTAAAAATGCAAAAATTAGCTGGGCATGGTGGTGGGTGCCGGTAATCCCAGCTACTTGGGAGGCTATGTCACAAGAATCACTTGAACCCAGGAGGTTGCAGTGACTCGAAATCGTGCCACTGCATTCCATCCTGGGTGATAACAGAGCAAGACTCGGTCTCAAAAAAAAAAAAAGCTTATTCACTTAATCATTTGGAAATATTTTACTGGATGCATGCTACACACCAGTACTTGTCTAGGATAAAAGAAGTGACCAAAATATACAAAATCCCGAATCTCAGAAAATTTATAATGATTTATTAAAATGTTAGATTAATAAAAACAAAAACGTCATATAGGCATCAAAGAACTAACATGACAGTGAATCAAAAATCCAAAAGATACTTCTCTGCAGAGTTCACAGAAAAAAAAAAATCTTAAAGAAGACAAGAAACCCAATGAGGCCATCCAGTAGAGATCCCTTTTATTTCTGCCTACGGGAAATGTTTAATCTGAATAGACAGCTATGAAACTAAGTTGCATTTTCAATGATCTCATGGGGCTAGAAGAACAAAACTATACCCATAGAGCAAAAGGTGAGCCAGTTGTAAAACCAACCTTCCCATGAGCTAGCTGACTTTGGGTCATCTGAGTAGGTCAGGTAAATGCAAGACCTGAATTTGGATTAAGGTGTTCTCAACTAGTAGCACCCCAGACACCTGGCAAAAGTAAATGAAAATCCTATGGGAGAAGATACTGTCCTAGGCCTGAAAATAGTTCTATGATAGTTTTCAAATACAATGTCCACCATATAGTCAAACATATGGGTATATAAGAAAACAAGATGCTATGAACAAAAAGAAAAACGCTACTACTAACAGAATCTGACCCACAATTATCTTAGATACCCAGAACTATCAAATACAGAATATGAAAATAACTATGTGGGCCATATTCAATGAAATAAAAGCCAACTATAGTACTAAAAACAATAAAAAGTGTATCTGAAAAAGAGCCAATGGAAGTTCTAGATCTTTGTAACAATATAACCAAAGTAACAGTCATTGAGAAAATCAGGGGAAGAAACTAGAATGCAGCAGAGAGAGACAAAGAGAAAGAAAACAGAGAAGACTAAAAAACCTAGTGAGAAGGATTTAACATATATTTAGAGTCCCAAAAGAACGAGAGAGAGAAAATAGGGCAGAAAAAACAGCCGAGAG